GACTCAAAATGCAGTCAGAGCCCTGGGAGAGGTGGGGAACCCTTGGGGTGCGAGGGGCCATCCATTCCGGGAAGAGCGCCCAGGACCGGCTCACCACCTCTGCCTGGCATGGGCAGGGCTCTTCCTGGAGCCAATGGGAGAGGTATGCTGCTGTCTCCCAATATCACAGAGGTACAGGTCCCACCTGCCCTCCAAGGCACTGCCCTGGGCATCCTTGGGTTCCTTCACCTTCCACCAAGGGGCCTCTGCCTTGGGCCAGTCCTGGCAGGGAGCTGGGCCTGGAGCCACAGAGTAGTACTCCCCAGCCCTCATGGTTGCCCGTCAGCACAGCACAGCTTCCATCCCTCCTCAGTCTCCAGGGAAGGCCTTTTTTTTTTTTTTTTAAAGATTGGAGAGAGAATCCCAAGCAGACTCCCCACTGAGTGTGGAGCCTGAATCCGATCAATCCCAGGACCCTGAGATCATGACCTGAGCTGAAACAAGAGTCTGATGCTTAACTGACTGAGCCACTGAGGCGCCCCGAGGGAAGGCCCTTCTATAACCCCTTCAGACTCACATTCTCGGTCAGTTGGGCCACTCAGAGCTTGTGTGTGTATGCATAAATTCGTGTGTGGATGTGTGTCTGTGTCCGTGTGTGTGTCCATGTGTGTATGTGTGCATATGTGTGTATGCATGTGTTTGTTGAGTGAGGGTCTGTGGGAGCTGCTGGGGAAGAACTCACTGCAGCTGCAGGTTGTGGCCTGGTGGCCTTGTGGTTGTGTCACCTTGAGCTAGGCCTCTACTGTCTGCAAGCCTCTTCTATAAAACGTGCTCTCTGGTCTTGGCCCCAGGGTGGTTGAGGAGAAGCACTGTATGGACGGATGTATATGCCCCAGATGCCTAGCATATCCAACGTGCTTAGGGAATGTGACCACCGTCACCAGGTATCTCTGCAGGGGTGACCCCGTGCTGGTAGTGGCTATTTGAGTGGCAGCTGTTCTAGGTGAGACAGTGCACAAATACAAGCAGCTTGAGGCACTCTAAACTCAGTAAGGAGACCCCCTTATGGGGCCCAGGCCCAGAAGGAGAGACTGGGCAGGCTGCTCACAGTCACTGACTCCAGGCCAGGCACCAGAGCACATCCTGGAAGCCTGGCCCCTGCCCTCTTGAAATCATCAACAAACGATCACATGATTATTTAATCAGTCCTGTGCCTATTCCAGGAAGCAGCAGGACGAGGACTGAGTGGCATCCAATGTGGGGCCACTTGGCCTTGGGGGTAGGGTCAGGGTGGGCTTCCCAGGGGGGCTCCAGGGCTGAGCCATGAGTATCACTGGCTGGCACAGGAGGAGGAGGGGCACTGCTCCTGGCAGAAGGCCCCGTGACAGGAGAGGCATGACCCATTAGAGGAACTGAGAGTACTGGTGGGCCTGGAGCCTGGGGAGGGCATGTCTCTGTGTGTGTTGTATATGCACATGCACACGCAGCACAAGGGGTCCTGGGGTTTGACTGCATCAACTTTAAGGGCCACGAGGAGCTGTGGTAGGTTTAACAGGGTTGGAGGCAGGGATGGTAAAACAGATTGGTGTTTTTATTATTATTTTTTTAAGATTTTATTTATTTATTCAGGAGAAACAGAGAGAGAGAGGCAGAGACACAGGCAGAGGGAGAAGCAGGCTCCATGCAGGGAGCCCGATGTGGGACTTGATCCCGGGTCTCCAGGATCACGTCCTGGGCTGAAGGCAGCGCTAAACCGCTGAGCCACCAGGGATGCCCAGATTGGTGTTTTTAAAAGATCACTCAGGCTTTTGGGGAATGTTGCAGGAGGGCAGGGGTAGAGGCTGGGAGACCTGGGAGGAGGTCCTGGCCAGGGTGAAGGCAAGGAGAAATGGGGCATCCAGAGGTGAGAGGAAGCATCAAGGATGGTGCCAGGTGCCTGGAGGGTGCAGGGACCTCCGGTTTGCTCTGCAAACAGTGATGATGGGTGCTCTGCAAATGTTTGGTGAGTGGATGACGGATGGGGACTGCTGCAGGAACAGGTGTGAGGGAGGCTGATGTGATGTGAGCAGATCCCAGAGCATTCTGAAGTCCAGCTTCAAGCCTGGCCTTGCCTGCTGTCCTTTGGAGTCACACACTTATGAGGACGAAGGCAGCAGTGTGACAGGCGGCCCACGGCAGCAGGTCAGTTTCCTGGATGTGCAGACTGTGTGGTTGTCCTGGGCCCGGACTCCGAAGGGCCCCTAACATGGTTCAGTGCTCTGCTGTTGCCGCATGGAAATTCTTAATTTTTGAACAGATGATACTGAGTTTTTGCTTTGCACTGAATCCCCCAAGTTCTTTAGCTGGTCATGCCCGGAAGACAGCAAAAGCCAGTGAACAGATTAAGGGGGTAGTAGATGCAAGGGAGACCAGTGTGTTCTCCTCACCTGTGCAAAGGTGGACATAAGCCACCCTGGGATCTGGAGAGAAGGCTGATGGGGGCAGATGGGATCAAAGTCTGTGAACTGTGGGCAGAAACAGGTGCATCTGCACTTAACAAAATGCCTCTACCCCTAGTCGATCCACTGGCTGAGCACTTGTGTGTAGGCGTGGTCCTGGGACACTTGCTCACACCTTTCAGTGGCCTCTGTGTAACAAAGCCTACCTAGAGTATCTCTGCTGTGCAAAAAGGAGAAGGTTCAGTGTGTGCAGGGCCGCAGCCCCTGCTCGCCCCTTTGTGCCGTGGAGCAAAGGATGGAGGGTCTGCCTTGAAGTCCGATGTCATTCCTAGAGGACGCAATAACTATATGGAATCCATTCCCTTTCATGCATGTATGTCCAAAAACTGTAACTGAGGCCAAAGAAGCTTCAGGTCAGTCAGGGCTGGCACCCCTGTAAATGTCTCCCTCAGATGGTTTCTGGAAGCTTCCATGTATTGCCATTTATACTGATGCATTTAATCATCACAAAAACCTTGCAAGGTGGGTAGGATTATCAACAGTTAACTTATAAGAAAACAGAGGATCGGAGATTTGTGACTTAGAGCTTGTCGCTGGATCGGGACTAGATCCAGGCTGGTCTGTGTTCCCCAGGATCTGTGCTCTTACCTGAGCTCCCCGACCTTGCCAGGGGTGTGGTGGGGTGGTGAGTGGGACTGGGACTCCTGGGAGCGGAGACAGCCCATGTTGGCCTGTGATGATTTGAGGACAGATGCCTGGGGGCCTGGTTCTGAGTAATACCCATGTGAGACACGGCTTGTCTGCCAGCTCACAAGGACCATCACCTGGCTGTGACCGAGCCAAGGCTTGGGCATTTGGGGCTTGGGGGAGGGAAGCAAACCTGAGGCTGGGAGAGAGCACCTTCTGGTGCTGATTCCCACCCCCTCAAAACAAGCCAGCTCTTGGGCAGTGAAAGGGGGCCATGGAAGAGCAAAACTCCTTTTGTAACTTTACTCTCTGCCTTATTATTATTATAATTATTAATTATTATTATTTGAGGGCTTGAACTCAATGACCTAAGCTGAGGGCAAGAGTCAGAGGCTAATGGACTGGGCCATGCAGATGTCCTACTTTCTGCCTTAAAAAAACACAAACCCTTTTGCAAGTGATTACAGCCACTGTGAGAGGACAGAGGGGGTGCCTTCTGGCCATCTGGGTACAAGTGGGCCAAAGGCATGGACTTCTAAGAAATCCAGGACAGGGGCCCTAATCTCCTTCTCTGGCCCATGGCCCCTACCTGAGAGGGGAGCCAGATCAGCAGGCTCACCCCCGCCACCACCCGCTCATGGCTGCTGTGGCCTGGGGGCCCTTGGTGGCTGGTGGGGACTTCAGACATGGGAGGTCGTCTGAGCTGCTGCCCCAGTTCCCTTGGACTTTGATGAGCTCAGGGCCCCGGGCAGGAGGTGGCCTAGTAGGCAGGTGTTACCCTAATTTGTGACTTTTTCAATGAAATAAACACAAAACAGAAAGGAAATAAGCAGGAAAATGAACAACATCGCATTCCTATTCATCCCTCACAGAGGGGCCCCAGATTTGCTAATTGCTCATATTAAATGACGCATTTGGGTAGAGGGGTGCATCTTTTTATGGTAATGCGATACACCTGACGAAAATGGCCATCTTAACTATTTTTTAGTTTGGTGGCATTAAGTACACGCACATCATCGTGTGTCTGTTTCCAGAAGTTTTCCATCTCCACCTGGAACTCTGCACTGTGAAATGTGGACCCCTTCCTCCCCCGCCCAGCAACCACTGTTCTGCATTTTGTTTCTATGATTTGACCACCCCAAGGAGCTCATATATGTGGAATCATATGGTATTTATCCTTTTGTGTCTGATTTATTTTACTCAGCATGATGTCCTTGGGCTTTAGACGTGTCACAGTACATCACAAATTTCCTTCTTTTCTAGGGCTGAATAATATTCCGTGGTGTGGCTAGACCCTGTTTTGTTTATTCATTCTCCTGTCAATGGACACTTGGGTTTCTTCCACCTTTTGGCCCTCGTGAATAATGCTGCTGTGAACAGGAGTGTGTTTTGTGAAGTAGTATATCCTGGAGAGCACTGCTGGCCTACTGGGTTGTGCAGGATTCTGGGTGGAAAATGTCCTGAGCTTTGGTATTATAGGTGCTCAGGTGGAAGCAGTGCTGGACGAAGCCAAGCTGCCTGGGTCCTGGGCCCCACTACCGGGGAAAAAGCCACCCTCACCCCCGGCTTTGTTGTGTCTGTCTGGCGGGATGGACGTGATTGTTGATGAGTGTCCGAGGGGTGGGCTCCCCAGATGGTGCTGTCCCCTTGGCCACACGGGAGTGAGTGTCCTCGGAGCTATTCGACAGGCTGGCGTCCTCTTCTGTCTAGGAGCTATTATTATAGGACTAGTAGTAATGACCGATATGAGATGATGCAGGAGAACAGGATGTGGCTTTGACGGGGGCTGTGTCTGGGGGAGCCCAGACGTGACAGTGGATGTCTGTTTCTCGTCTGGCCCCCCGGGACGTAGCCTTGTGGGTGGCTGACTGAGTAAACTGGCCTTCCTGTCCTCAGGTCCAGCTGGGAGCTCCCAGACCTCCAGGAGGGCAAGATCGAGGCCATTAGTGACTCGGATGGGGTGAACTACCCCTGGTACGGCAACACCACAGAGACATGCACCATTGTAGGCCCCACCAAGAGAGACTCCAAGTTCATCATCAGCATGAACGACAACTTCTATCCCAGCGTCACATGGGCCGTGCCCGTCAGTGAGAGCAACGTGGCCAAACTGACCAACATCTACCGGGACCAGAGCTTCACCACGTGGCTGGTGGCCACCAACACCTCAACCAATGACATGATCATTTTACAGACGCTGCACTGGCGCATGCAGCTCAGCATCGAGGTGAACCCCAACCGCCCCCTGGGCCAGCGTGCCAGGCTGCGGGAGCCCATCGCCCAGGACCAGCCCAAAATCCTAAGCAAGAACGAGCCGATACCACCCAGCGCCCTGGTCAAGCCCAATGCCAACGATGCTCAGGTCCTCATGTGGCGGCCCAAGTACGGGCAGCCACTGGTGGTGATCCCGCCCAAGCACCGGTAACAGCCAGGGTGCCCTGCTAGGCCATAGACTCAAATAATAACACTGCTCCAACAACACCCACACGGACTCTTCAGTCATTCAGCAAAATACAACCACTCTGCCTTCTCGAGCGGGCGGATCTCACTGTGCAAATGCCCCGGGATGGCCTTCCCCAGCCCTCTTGGCACCTGCTTCCTTTCGGGGAGGGGGAGGCCCGGCCGGGACACCCAACCCCACGTCCCCCCTTCACCTTGAGTCTCCTTTCCTGGCAGTTTCTATCATTCACTTTGCAAAACTCCCTGAAACAACTGCTTTTTCAGTTCTTCTTCTCTCTCTCTCTTTTTTTAAAAACACCTCTTTAAGAGGTTCAGGGGCGGGAGGAGGCGGAGCTGGTCGTGACACTGACCGGCACCTGCTGCTGATTTGTGAGTGGCGGCCCCCCATGGCAGCTCCCCTCGTCCTCTGTCACGCGGCCTTACCTAGACTCGCTTTGCCAAACTTTTGCCTTAAGCTAAATTTAAAGGAAAAAAGCCCAAAACAGACAAAGAAAGCAGGATCTCTTTTCTACCAGATTATTTTCGGCTACAGGTGAAGGAGGGGGCAGGGCCAGGGAGCAGAGAGGCACCTGTGCCCTGCTCCCAGGTGTCCTGGCAGAGGGGCAGGGGGACATATTTAGACCTAAAACCAGCTACTTGTTCTTTTATTTCTGCTGAAACTGAGAGTAACCATCTGCAGAGCCCCTTCTCTCAGGCTCTGGTGGGAAACCTCCACCCCACCATACCTGCAGAGGTACCTGTGCGCTCTGTTGGGGTAGATCTGCTGGGGCTGCTTCTCTGGTCTCTCTTCTGTCAGCCTTAACTTGCCTGGGGTAAATCTGGGAGGAGAGAGAGAGGGTTGAGCCTCAGTGGTTCTCGCCATCTCAGTCCTCAGCACCCAGCCACGGATGCGTCCGTCGGCACATCTAAGGGTTTATAGCTTTTCCTTTTCTGTCCACACTGGCCCCAAATGCCTGGAGGGCCACCTTGAGCCAGATTTAGTCTGAAGGTAAGGAAGGCAGGCAACTTTCCTACTGGCTCCTTCTCAGGGGATGCCCCTCCCAGGTACTCTGGGAGAAGCTGCAGACAGGTTCTGGGCACCAGTGTTGGAGGTGGGGGGAAGCTGCCGAGGGGGGCACCCAGGATAGGCGGTCCTGGATCTGGGGAGAGGCCAGAAAGGCCATCACAGGTGCCCCACTGTGAAGCAGACCAGGGGGTTGTCGGGGGTTACATGGGGACATAGTTGACAGGCATTGGGGCCGCTCCAGAGGCTGGTTGACAGTGTGGCTAGTCCAGAGGGCCACTATCCCTCGGTTCCAGGGCCCTGCAGAGCCCTAGGATGGTCCTGAGCGACACTAAGCTTTCTTAGTAATGTCTGCCTTGATGCCTGCCTGCAGATGGGGGTTACCCCACAGAAGCCCCCTTCCTCAAACCTGCTGAACCCCACAGCTACTTTACCCAGCCCTGCATTTGAATTAATAATACCCAAGTACAGAAAATCATCAGAAAAGAAAAATAATTCATTTCTGCTGCAGATGAGCCACTTGTAGGAGTCCCAGTGACAACGTGGGAGGATGTGGGTCACCTTGATCTGCTCCTTTATCCACGTGGCATTGTAACTTAGTCAAGGGGTGCTTAACGTCCCATCTGTCTCCCAGCCCTGCTCCTGATAGCAGGTCCACAGCTATCTTGGAACAACCAGACCAGAAACACGTCTGTGTCGCCAGTGTGCTGCATGGGGAACCCCTTTGTCAGGCCCAAGATTTTCCCCTGGAAACTGCCTGTTCCCCTGGGTGTGTACGGAGACCCCGTCACCCAGAGAGACCATAGCCTCAAGTGAGGGGGGATGATGGGTCCCAGCTCTACCTCCCAGGGAAGGGCCTGGGAGGGGCTAGGCTGCCGGCATCCTGCTGCTGTGGACAGGACCTGACCTCCTAATGGAGCGGCCCTTCTCTGCACTCAGGTCTTTCTTGCACTAAAAAAAGGAGGAAGGGCCCTGGGTGAGGGGTCGGAGGCTGGAGTTCAGGTTCTGGGTGGGGTCATCACTAAGGGGTTCTTACTGCCCTAGGGGTGGGAGCAGGAGAGGACAGTAATGAGTGGTCCTGAGCTGTTGTGGGCCGAGTCCCTCAAACATGTACCTGCTGAGTGTGAGCAAGCCCTCTTGCCAGGGACCAGTGCTGTGCCCACTAGGAGGGGGCAAAGCTACTCTGGCTGCCTCCCCTGGCCTATTGCATGCCTGGGCCCCAGCTCACCTTGCTCCTTGACTCATCCCGCCCCTCCTGCACCCCTTTCTCTCTGACCCTCCTGGCCCTTCTGGAGACAGGGCTGGAAAGGCCCTGGAGAGGCCGCAGGTCTGGCCCAGGACACTGGGCTTAGCCTGGGTCTGGTCCCTGGGCCTCCTCCCTATCAGGAGCACAGACACTGGGCTTCTCACCTGGGTCCCCAATCCCCCTGGTGTCCCTCTCCCCTGGTGTGGACACACTCCTCCAGCAATAAGGACTATCCGTGGTCATGGAGAGTACTGTGAAAACAAACCAATGCACTTACCAGGAGGCACAAGACTCTTGAAGAATATGTAAAATTAAATTTTTTTTAAAAAAGAAACAACAAATCTTCACAAAGAGAAATAAAATGTAATTTTAAAGTAGGCCTGGCTAGGATCTGGATGTTTATAAAGTGGTGGTTCATTTCGGGGTTGATGGCCATGGGAGTGAGGGTGTTTGGAGGCAGGTCACTTTGTTCATGCATCCTCTGCTGCCCGTAGCCCTGGGACCTCAAGTTCCGCCCAGAGTGCCCCTGGCTGGTGCCCCGTGTGGAGGAAGGACAGCAGGCTTGAGGTGGAGGCAGGACATGGGGGCAGCTCGGCTTTTTGTCAAACCGTAGAAACCCATGTGACGAGGGGGAGTTAGTGTTCAGATGGGACTTGCAAACCCGTCCTCACACGGAAAAACGGCTGCCAGGACAGTGTCAGTCTAGAACGTGGCTCTGTGCCCTGCCCACAGCCAGCAGCTGATGAAAGGTGGTGGCATGGAGTCAGGGCCCTCATAGTAAACACTTTTCTTCTAATGAGAACTTTCTTGTGAAAGGTTGGGAGAGGATGAGCCCAGAGGTCCTAGAGTGGGTGTGGGCTCTGAGGTGGACCATGGATTCAAGGCAATTTGTATGGGATTGGGGAAGACACTGAGCCCCTTTGAGCCCCATTTACCTTGTATGGGAAGCAGGGATTCTCTGAGTAGCTGCCTCCAAGCTGATGTGGTAAACATATGTGGTGAACATTCTACTTGGTCTCCAGGTGTTCTTAAGGTCCCCATTTCACAGATGGCGGAGCTGAGAGACAGCAGGAGCTGCCCAGGGCCACGCATCTGGCAAGAGGCAGAGTCAGAGTTTGAACCCTGGATGCAGAGCCCAAACCCTTATCGCTGCATACCCTCAATCATGGCATGTTGCTACAGAGCATACATTTGGTGCTCAATAATTATCATGACTATTAAGAAGGCCCTGTGCCTTTGACTCCATCCATCCTGGGCTCCTGAGGAAGGAAATGCCTTTCTCCCCTGCTCCCCCAGGAAGGTTTTGTGCAGCAATCAGTTCCCTGATGCCCACAGTGAGTCCAGCTCATTCCATTTGAGGAGGGGCTAGCCGGTTGGCTGCAGACCACAGGCTCATCCTCCAGGGTTGCCGGTGGCCCCTCAGCATTGCTACAGAGGACAAGGGGCCCCCTTTCACTCTGGGCATTAGGGATTTGGTTTCTTCTCTGGGTTTCCCACATTGCAACAACCCAACAGCATTCTGCATCCTGTCTCCTGGATCTGAGACACCAAAGCAGGAAATTGCATAACAGGCTCTGCTGGCCGCCCTCCACCCAGATGGCTTATGGGTGGTACAGTTCACTGCCGTGGTTTGGCTTTCGGTTGTGGAGCTGGCTCCTGAGCTCTGCCTGTTAAGAGATCATGGGGTATGTGTGTGTGTGCGTGTACGTGTGCATGCATGAGCAGACAACAGAGGTGTGGGCATAGCCAGCGGCGGGAGAAAGCCGAGCTGGATCACATCAGGATGAAGCCAGAGTTGCTCAGCCATTTGAACCTTTGGGCCAACATGCAGCTGAGGATGGACGCTCAGATGGGAGCCCTGCATGGGGCTAACGTTCCAGAGGGGAATGTGCCAGAAGGGTGGCCATGAGTAAAGTGGATTCCAAGTGGCATTTGGTCACACAGTGGAAGCCCTCCCACCTCTCAAGCTGATAGCAAGTTAAATTTAGACGTCCCAGACTGGGATGAGACACAGACACCAGACTCAAGCCAGCTGTCTCAAGCTTCCCTCCAGGAGCAGGGCCTGGGAGAGCTGGCTGTCTGGGCTGGGCCAGGCCTGCCTTCCCTGTGATGTCTGAGAGAAGCAGGCATGCTGTGACCCCACTCACAGCCTGCCTGTCACCTCTGGTTCCTTCTGGGTGGAGTCCAAACTCTGGACTTGGGCTCATTGTTGGTTAGATCTTGAGGCCACAGAGGAATCCCCACTTGCTGGGCCAAGAAAGAAATGGCTTAGTGGGAGCTGGAGAGGGGTGACAACTAGAGAGGCTCTCAGGCCCCTGCACATTTCTACTGGCCCACGTGTACCTTCTCACCTCTGGATTGATTTCTCTCTTGGCCATCATCTGTCCTGCCTGGCTGGCCCCACAGACATTGTTTCTCACCTGGTTGGGGTCTGGGCATCCTATTATGGCAAATATTGGAGGTAGTAACAAGTTGCTGTGCACACATGCCATCCAAACCTACCCACCCAAATCCTTAGCACACAACTTAGTCCCACAGGGATGCACATCCAGAGTGAGCGCTCTGGCGCTGGAGGGCCCTTCCTGTCACTGCTGAGCATGTAAGACTCTAAAAGGGGAATTTTCATAGATGAGGAAACTGGCGCTCAGAAGGGGCTGAGGGACTAGCTAGAGGTCACTCAGCTGGGAAGTTGCAATGCCGGGCAGGTTTCAAATAGCCATCTTTTGACCTTGCTCAGTCACTGCTTTTTTGGCTACACCACCTCCGGCCTCTCTGCACTCTAGTTCTACCAGACCGCCCTGAACCACTCTTCTGCTGACTGCTGGGCAGAAGGCTCCTGGCGCGGGGCTGAATGCAAGTCATCAGCAGGGCCACTGACACTGGAAGATGAAAATGATCAAATGCAAAAAAACACATCTGGGTGAAGGAGCTCCGTCTCTGCACTTGTGTCCAGAGAGGCCAGCCCGCACAGCCGACATGGGTCCTGGCAGAAGTCAGTCCTACTTCTGTCCAGGCAGGGCCTTCTCCACTGGTCCATGCAGACTGGAAGGCAGAGGCAGGATTAGTTTCTCCACCGGCCTGAGCCCAACTTAGCTTCTAGCGCCTCTGCCCTGCTTCATATTTTATGGTCCCTTTTTAATCAGACAGATGACGGGTGGCGGCACTGGGTGTTTACAACAAGTAAGACGCAGTTAGAAGCCCTGCGCTATTCTTGGCTGCCACTTGTCTTGCTGAGTGAGGTCGGCTGGTTGCCTGACCTCGCATGCCTGAGTTTCCTGATCGGCAAGCTGGGACACGCACACCTAGCTTGCCCTCCGGTCCAGGGCCAGCAATGCGCAGCAGCTGTTAACCCTGCCCTCGGGGCGGCCTGGGGATGACCATACTGGATTGGGGCTTCCATGAGAGACCAGAGACTCCCCTCCTTCCACATGGCTCAAGTCACCTGCAACATCCAGACCACAGGACTTGGTTATCAGGATCCTTAGACCCTCCACAAATGCATACTGAGTGCCAGCTGGTCAGTCAGGCAAGAGGATTTCAATGTTATTTCCACAGCTGAATCGAGCTAGAGTTCACATATCAAACAGCTCACCCGTTTAAAGTGTACCATCCAGTGTCTTCCCAGAGCTGTGCAGCCAGTACCCCAATTTTGTAATGTTTGTACCTCATAGGGAATTACTGCCCCCAATGCCCCAGCCCTAAGCAACTGCCCATCTCCCTCCTGTCTCCATGTCCCTCCCAGGACATTTCATGGGAAAGGAGTCACTCCATGTGTGCTTGCCTGTGCCTGGCTTCTTTCCCTTGGCATGGTGCTTTCAGGGTTCCCCTGTGTTATAGCATGCACTGGCACCTCCTTTTTCACGGATGTCCTCCTGACCATCTCTGTGGGTGAGGTCCTTTGCTAGGTGTTGGAGAAGCAGCGGCTTGGTGCATACTGTTCCCAGGAGCAAGTGGTCTGTGATGATGGGTCTGCAGGAGACCGACAGGTCTGGAGGGTCAGAAGTGGGACCTGGAAGATGGCTGGGACCTGGAAGATGGCTGGGTTCTGGGCCACGGGCGGGAGAGAGAGGGGAGGAAAGGTGTTGCAGCTAAAGGAAGGAGAGTGACCAGGGCAGGGCCCAAGGCTCTGCAGGTTCCTACCACCTCCGCAGGAGAGGGCGCCACTGACACTCCTTTGTCCAGTTAACTGCGGGTCTAAAGGTTCTGTCACTTGGGAATGACCAAGAAGATTCTACGAAGGAGAGGAAGAGTCCACGTCCCTGCAGGTCAGGAGGGAGTTCTCTGAATTCTGGGACTGCATGTCCTCTTACTTCCAATAGGCCTGACTAGGGAGGCAGGAGGGGGACACGGTGAGGCCACCTGGGTTTGCAGGCCTGCTCTGCCCTTCCCTGGCTATGTGACCTTGAGCAGGTAACCTTTGATGTTCTCCATTCCTTCAGATGTGGAGTGAGGGTGGAAATGGCTCCTCTTCTCATAGGACTGTGGTGGGTGTCCAATGGTTAATGGATACAAAGCAACTGGAACAGTACCTGGCACACAGTAGGTACTCAGGAAATTTGACCTATTAATACTGGTAATCCGTGAGACTCTGTTTCCTCATCTGCAAGAGGGGCTACGATGCTGTTCTCACAGGCAGGAGGATTTGGTGGGATGGGCAAGCCCCACCCTTAGCCCAGGGCCACAGTTGTTAGCTATTATTGACCGGGTAACTGGATGTTGAAATGATTTTTTCTGCCCCAGTTTCAGCTGATGAGGAAGGTAAGAAACAACACAAGTGGAACCACCCCACCCTGAGCCCCCGGCACAGGCCACCCACACTGGATCTGCCAAGGTACCCAGGAGCACTTTGGCCAGCCCTGGCCCAATCCCTGCTCAGGCATGTAAGTGAGGCAGGGTCGCCAAGGCGGGAGAAAGGCCACCCTATGGAGGGCTGTTGGTGCCCAGTGCGTTCCTCAGGGATGGCTGCTTCACTCTAGCCCCTGTCCGAGATGCCAGTCTATGCCCACCTAGCTCTGTGTGGACTTGGCCTCTACCCACCAGGTGCTCAAGGCTCAGTGAACATTCATCACCATCTCTAATGTTGGCAACTATCCCAAATAGCTTAGAGGCATGGTCCTGGAGTCCAGCTCTCCTGCTGGCCACCTTGGCTTGTCGGTTCATTCTGAGCATCATCAGTGTCCTTAGCTGAGAATGACAATGTGGATGGCCTATTATTTATCATTACTTGTGATAACATACCCATAGAATGTTCGCCATCATTTTTAAGTGTGCAGGTCTGTGCCATTAGCTCATGTGCAACCATCACCACCCTCCTTCTCTGGAACTTTGTCATCTTGCACAACTGCAACTCTATACTCACCAAAAAACTGCT